GAAGCAGTTAGCCAGCTATCCTAATGTGTTTCAGTTTTGCAGTAGCAGTATTATTGGTACAAGTCAAGATTAATTAATTTGCTGGGGGGTTATTATTTGGATTTGGGACGGTTTGTGCAGTTTTTTCTAATGAAAAAACTAGTTCCTTGCATGTGGTTTTTGAATGTAATTGTCTTTTTGTTTGACAAAAAATAATTCATCTTGATAGGGTACTTGCATCTGTTTTGTCCTAGGTACAAAGAAGAAGCAAAGAAAAGGTTATTTCTTTAATATACTTCTAAAAAGCTTATGGGTTATATTGTAGTCTTACCTTGAGCCCATTTTCTGCTAAATTTTTACACTCAGCATAGAACCTCAACAACATTGTCACTCCTGTTAGAATCCCAAGTGATTAGAGTCATTTTCAGGTCTTATCTGAGACACCCAGAATTGTTCTGTTGCCTGATTGTTCCTAGGATTTGATGTTAATGGAAGATTTTTTGTTTATTTTTCCTTATTGCTTCTAAAGGAAATTCCTTTTACTGAATTCCCACTGTTGTACAAAATCAATGTAAGCTTTATTTTGCAAGCACCCATTACTTTAGGCAGTCCTTTTCATAGCTTGAGCACTTTGATGGCAATACCTTGGTAAAGAAAGCGCCTCCCATCATTCCTAGAAGTTGAGTTTTTGTGGGGTAACTAGGCCTACAGACAGAAGGAGGAAATCCCATCTTGTGACGTGGCCTGGCACTGGATTGTGTCATTTGTGGCCAGTTCTCTTTCAGCCATCCTTATCTCTGCCATCTGACAAAATCTCTCTCTTATCTGATGACTAGAAAATGACATTTACTAGATCATCTCTTCAGAATTCACGTTTTGGATAAATACAGGATGTCAAGAGGGTCTTGACAATTTATTTCAAAATCTTGTTTTGCTTCCTAATAGCATCAGTTATTCATTCTTCACATTTTCTGCTATAGGAAAACATATATGCAAGAGCTTTGTTTACTCCTAGGTTATTTAACAGAAAATGCTGAATTATCAGGTGACCTTGGTCAATGCCATTCTCAGATATGTGTAACAATCCCTGATAATATATTTTATAACCTTTCTGGGTGAGTAGGGATTGAGGCATGTCAGAAAGGTCAAAAGAGGGGAGAAGAGGATAAAAAGAAACCTGGTATTTGGTTTCTAAGCCTGTCTCTGGAACTGGACTTGAAAGCTTTAGGGACCAGCAACCACAGAGACCACACTGCTAACCTCGTTTGCTTTTACTGTGTATTAATGGGCTCACTAAGGTGATGACACTTCACATCGTGTTGGCATTGCCTGTTTATGTTTGTCTTCCATGCATGAAGGAAAGGCTCAATCACGTGTTACTTACCTTTGAGTCTTTTTTTTTCATTTATTTTTATTAGTTGGAGGTTAATTACTTTACAATATTGTAGTGGTTTTTGTCATACATTGACATGAATCAGCCATGGATTTACATGTATTCCCCATCCCGATCCCCCCTCCCACCTCCCTCTCCACCCGATCCCTCTGGGTCTTCCCAGTGCACCAGGCCCGAGCACTTGTCTCATGCATCCAGCCTGGGCTGGTGATCTGTTTCACCCTTGATAATATACATGTTTCGATGCTGTTCTCTCAAAACATCCCACCCTCGCCTTCTCCCACAGAGTCCAAAAGTCTGTTCTATACATCTGAGTCTCTTTTTCTGTTTTGCATATAGGGTTATCATTACCATCTTTCTAAATTCCATATATATGTGTTAGTATACTGTAATGGTCTTTATCTTTCTGGCTTACTTCACTCTGTATAATGGGCTCCAGTTTCATCCATCTCATTAGAACTGATTCAAATGAATTCTTTTTAATGGCTGAGTAATATTCCATGGTGTATATGTACCACAGCTTCCTCATCCATTCGTCTGCTGATGGGCATCTAGGTTGCTTCCATGTCCTGGCTATTATAAACAGTGCTGCGATGAACATTGGGGTGCACGTGTCTCAGATCTGGTTTCCTTGGTGTGTATGCCCAGAAGTGGGATTCCTGGGTCATATGGCAGTTCTATTTCCATTTTTTTAAGGGATCTCCACACTGTTCTCCATAGCGGCTGTACTAGTTTGCATTCCCATCAACAGTGTAAGAGGGTTCCCTTTTCTCCACACCCTCTCCAGCATTTATTGCTTGTAGAGAGTGAATAACTAAAGTGACCTCTACATTTGACTGTCATTGTAGTATAACAGGATATTATCGAGCTATAGTCTTAATTACATATGAACCCTGATTTACCATTTAGGCTTTTTTTACAAGATAAAAGTAGTAAAGGAAGAAATTCGTAGCAAGAAAGAGGAATGAAGGCCAGGATCATGTAGATGAGGAAGAATGAATGGGTAAAGGTTAATCATTAGAAAACAGAAGAGATTTAAAAGTAAGAGGTGATAGGATGTATAGATGGAGATAGGGAAAGAGTTATGAAAGCGATGAACATGTTGGTGGAATCAGCCGGTGAGCATCCAGGATTATAGTCAAGTAGTTCTCTGACTCACTGAATAGGGAGCTGTGAAGATGCAGTACAGTAAACCGCAGAGTTTCTTATAGGGAAGCTGTTCCACAGATAAGAAAGGCTTTTTATTTCGTATTATTATTTTCCTTTTATGTTGGGAGGATGTACCAGTGACAGTTGGTCTCCTTTCAGCCAAATAGCTCCCATATGCTACATAATGCTGCTGCTGATTAAAATCCTATGGAAGAGGCAGCCTGTGTCTGGAGCAATAGCAGCCTGAATTCAAATGTATCTGTCTTCTGGGGAAGCAGAGATAATCAAATTCCCCCCTTCAGCAACTTTGGGAACACACCATTTGAGAAGATACAATGGGTGTGCATCAGACACTTTCTGTCTGTATACCTGCTGCCTGTTAGTCACCAGGTTCTGGCATTGTGTGAGTTTTTCTCTTCCCTATTCACACCTTACAGTCTCTGTCATTTAAAGGCAGGGGCACTTCTGTGAAAACTGTTACTGACACATGTATGAAAACCTAGGAGATCAGTAGGGAGACAAAGTTGTGGGTGATGTGAGGAAGAAACCATCTTTAGTCAGAGAAATTTGGGTTTCAATATGCTTTTCACCTTTTTAGTATGTAACCTGGACAAGTGATTTAAGTTCCTCTGAACTTTGATTCCCACATCTGTAAAATGGGGATAATGATATATGACAGAGGATTGTTTTGTGGGTTAAATTACATAATTTATGTTTGGCTATGCATTCTGGAAAAATCTAGGTGATGAGAGCTACAAGGAACCCTCAAACACTCCATTTAAACCCCTGCCCTCAGAGACTTGTCCAAATCTTTAACGCGGCTTCTAGAAGCCTAAGGCCTAAGCCCTGGGACAACCAGCCCTCTTTGGAGTTCTCATTTGGAAAAACTCAGGGATGTTAGAAGAATTTACTGTTTGCTCTGTTACTATTTGCTCTGCTGCTGCTGCTGCTGCTAAGTCACTTCAGTCGTGTCGTCTGTGCGACCCCATAGATCGTAGCCCACCAGGCTCCACCATCCCTGGGATTCTCCAGGCAAGAACACTGGAGTGGGCTGCCATTTCCTTTTCCAATGCATGAAAGTGAAAAGTGAAAGTGAAGTCGCTCAGTTGTGTCCGACTCTTAGTGACCCCATGGACTGCAGCCCACCAGGCTCCTCCATCCATGGGATTTTCCAGGCAAGAGTACTGGAGTGGGCTGCCATTGCCTTCTCCGACTGTTTGTTCTAGCCAACACCAAATCTCTTTTTAGAGCATTTACTAAGAAAGGCTTGCAATTGTGAATCCTCTCTCTGAACCTTTAAAATATAGATATATCTCCTATAACTTGGATGTATCTTTCTCAAGGACCTGAACCCCCTTCCTTTGAAATATAATAAACATAAGGCCAGGGTCTCTGTCTCCTAGACTTGGAAGCATAGAATCCTAACTTTAATAATTGCCAGGTAGCAGAGTCAGTTGGCTGCACCAATCATGTTTGGTAATTTTGAATTCCTGCCCACTTCCCTTTTCTACACCCTCATTTTGCCTTTAAAACCCCCAGTCACACAGCTCTTTCTCCTATTATCTATCAGCATTTACTGAATAAAATCTGTTTTCATCACTCTAATGCCTGGCTTTGTTTCTTTTTGTCAATAAAGACTGTCTTTCAAATCTCTGCCCCTAGATCTTTTTTTTTTTTTTCCATTTATTTTTATTAGTTGGAGGCTAATTACTTTACATCATTGCAGTGGTTTTTGTCATACATTGAAGTGAATTAGCCATGGATTTACATGTATTCCCCATCCCGGTCCCCCCTCCCACCTCCCTCTCCACCCGATCCCTCTGGGTCTTCCCAGTGCACCAGGCCCGAGCACTTGTCTCGTGCACCCAACCTGGGCTGGTGATCTGTTTCACCCTAGATAATATACATGTTTCGATGCTGTTCTCTTAAAAACATCCCCTAGATCTTTTAATGGTGTGTGTGTGTTTTCTCCAAAGGAGAGGGTGAGGTTCAGTCTTGTCAGGAAAGGTCATGGGAAGAATTTGGGAAAATGTTAGAAGGTTGTTGTATGGTTCCTGACTATCTCTGGGGAATGGGCCTGAGGGTTAATTTCTGCTCATAAATTTTTCAAAGGTCAGAAATGTAACTTAAACAAGCTTTCACTAGTTCAGCTTAAACCAAAATGGAATTTAAGGATGCAGATTATTTAAAGAATGGAATGCAGATATTTAAAGAATGCTTCAGCCACCTGAAGTGTGGCTAATAGCAACTGAGGAAATGAATGTTTTAACTTAATTTTAGTGAATTCAAGTATAAAAAGCGACACATGGCTGGTGGTTACCCTGTTACAGGGCACAACGCTAAATCATGCTGTGTTGTCTCTCCTTGGCTTTGTAGACTGTCCCCATGTGCTGTCAGTGGCTTCTGAAAGCTGCAGAATTAGCTCTTCCTCAAATAATACCATCTCACAGAAAGAAAACCGTCCCTTCATCAGCCCTGTCTACCCCTGAAAAGGACTCAAGCTGGCCTTGATGAGGTAAGTCCTGGAGTGCAGGAGGTTGGACACTGATGGTCTACACTGAGTCACATCCTGTTTTGGGCCGTTTAGTTCATTGCCTTCCAGAACTGCTTTGAGTGTGGGAGCAATAATTATCAATGAGTGGTTAACGCAGACGTTGACGGACTTTTTGAGAAGGGTAGAAGCAATGATACCTTGTAGCCCTGATGACAGCGTGCTGCACACGGCGAGGGGGTGGGACATTTCTTCTTCATCACGGAGAGGACTTGGCCCTTCAAGCAGAAGCGGAAACCATACAATTTAAAAAGCAGTGTCCTCCGCACAGCAGCAGCGGCATCCGTGACACATTCAAGAGATCTTGTGTACAGAGAGCAATAAGAAGGTAGGAGAGGAAGGACAGGAAGAACATGGCTGTGTTCCATGGCTCTGTCATGGGCATTTTGACAAACACTCTTGGAACTCTGAGAATACTAAAGATGATCTGATAGGGGGTTGGAATACCTGCAAGTAAAGGTGGAAGTTAAATACAGGAAATAAGGCTTTACTATTAATGTTGTAATAGCTGTGCCCAAGGGCTGGTAAAGCTGAAGTATTCATATCTAAGCACTCAGAACTATTAGGTGCTCAAATTTTACCTGCCATTACCAGTGTATGTGCCCCCTCGCACAGCCCACATTCATTCTTCCTTGAGTAAGTACACAGTTTTCCTGTGCTTTATTGATACTGGTGGCATGAAGAGTGATGCTAGAGTTCAGGATTTAGCATATCCTGTAGAACTGTGAAGGTTCATTTTCTGAAACCCAAAGTATTAGAAAAATCTGCTGTTGAGAATGTTGGAAGCAAATTTATAGATAAGGACTGACATTCAGCATTGTACAACATGTAGCCATATCATTTGTTAAATTATAAATTATAAAATGATTTTGGATCAGATTTATATAACAACTTGTTTCAAGTTTTTCCCTATCCCTTATTGCTTTGGCCGCTTCTGCATCTTTCCATAATTCAGCAATCGAAGGGTTGATTACCTAGGCAGGGGTCTCCAGGACCTAGAAGTTCTAAACCAAGTTATGTTCAGATTGGTCAGTGTTCCTGCCAGTCATTTTTTTTTTTTCTAAAATCTCAATTGCTATGCACCACCTTTGGCCTCTCAGGAAAACCCCCGACTATTACCTGTTCATGTTCTACCAGCATTTTGCTTATGTCTGTTCATTCACCTACAGTGTTAATGATTTGTGTTTTTTTTTTCTCTCTTTTTAAAGCATTTTTGTTTTTAGTTATTTATTTTTAGTGGCCCTGGGTCTCTGTTGCTGTGCACGGGCCTCCTCCAGTTGGGGAGGCCAGGGGCTGCTCTCTAGCTGTGGGGCACAGGCTGTGGTCGCGTCTCTTGATACAGAGCACAGGCTCTGCTTGCGGGCTTCAGCAGTGGCAGCACTGAAGGACTGCGGCTCACAAGCTGTCGAGTGCGGCCTGGGCAGTGGGGGTGCATAGGCTTAGCTGCTCCTCAGCAGGTAGAATCTTTTGAAACAGGGAACCAGACCCATGTTCCCTGAATTAGTAGGCTGATTCTCATCCAGTGTACCATGAGAGAAGTCCTCTGATTGGTGATTATATAGCTTTTACATCCTCTGGTGATCAAATAGGAACAGAATTTTTAAGATATGTTGTCTTGTTTTAGGGAAGCTATGAAGCCTTTGCTTTATCTCAGATGAATGGAATGAGAGAAAGGTGTTGAAATTTGATTTTGTAATGGTGTAACCTACAGTGAGAATATGAATAATATGTTGCAAACATGTCAGGAGGCCAAGTCTTTTCTGAAGAAAGTTTGCCATCGGTAGCTATAAGTTAGTCATGATTAAAAACTTATGGATGTATAGGGCTTCCCTGATAGCTCAGTTGGTAAAGAATCCGCCTGCAATGCAGGAGACCTGGGTTCGAGAATGGAAATGCTACCCACTCCAGTATTCTGGCCTAGAGAATTCCCTAGACTGTATAGTCCATGGGGTTGTGAGTGGTCAGACACAACTGAGTGACTTTCATTCTAAGAATCTGCCTGCAGTGCAGGCGATCTGGACTCATTACCCAGGCCGGGAAGCTCCCCTGGGGAAGGAAATGGCAGCCCACTCCAGTACTCTTGCCTGGAAAATCCCATGGACAGAGGAGCCTGGCAGACTACAGTCCATGGGGTCTCAAGAGTCGGACATGACTTAGCAGCTGAAAAACCACCGCCATAGTGGGTACAAGCGACTGGGACAGAAGCTGTAATCAATCGGCTCAATCGTCTGCAGTATAATCGCGTCCAGTCTTTGCCTACAGGTGAACACGTGGGTCACAGGTAGAGAAATTTGTATTAGGCTGGCCTAGGATACTCACATCTTCTCTGTCAAGAACTTATATGTCAGTGGTTTGGACTTTCCTTCAGGAAATAAATGTTCTCCTTCTTTACCACAAAACCAATTTATATCCATGGTTTTATTTTTATGATATATAAGCCAATGTCTCATCAAATACACTCACACATACACAAATTCCATTATAGTTATTGGCATACATAGGTGGGTTTAGCTAAGACATGCTAAAATTATCTATGGAGATTTCTGTGGAGGCTAAGTAATTGAAAAGTTTGGAAAAATTTGTGGCCTTAATTCAAGGCAGATTGAATCAATAATTCTGAGGGACAAACTGTAGCTATTAATAAACCTAAAACCTTGAGAGAAACAGAATTTTTCAACCTTAGGCCACAGAGAATAAGAATATATTGTTTGGCTGTATTTTTATGGTTTAAATTTTAGAGGGCTTCTGCAGTGTAAGTTAAGACTCAGCTCTTATTGGGTGATAAACTCATCATGCTGGAGATGAAGCAGTCAATTCAAATAGGTTTTTGACTTTTTTAAGCCATCTCCCCATTTGGCTCAGATATGGAACAAAACCTCGAAAAGTGACTCTTGATTCCTCTGCCTCATTACCCTAAAACTGTGAAGAAACTTTTAATTTTGTAAATTCCATATGTGACTGTCACAGAGGTCAAATCGAACTCAAAATCACGTCATAGGACAATAATACATAAGCGAGCAACTCATGAGATGAGTAAAATTTCTTTATTTAGATTTGTTTAGTGAGGAAATTTTGGCATCTGTTATGACTTCTGAAAGTCCAACCTCAGCATTTGAGAGCATTTGGTGTTTAGCCAAGTAGCAGAGCAGCAAACTCATTTTGAGTAAGATATTTAAAGAAGGGAGAAATGTCATATGTCATCAGCTGGCATAATTTAACTTGCAAATCAGATGTTGGCAAGAACTAGTTGGCAGCAGATGGCTGAACTTGTCTGTGTTTCAAACCCTGAACCTATCCTTTCCCATTTTGTGTTGGAAATCTAATTAAAAGCCTTTTTATCACCATCATATTAATTATAAACATGCCTTTTTATCTGATAGGAAATTGACCTGGGCTTATCAAATTTCCCCCCAAACCCTCTATTTTCCAAGATTTTCAAGAAAAAATTTTTCTAAGCCAGTTTATTCTGACTAAATGCACCTAATATTTAATAGGGTAAATCCCATTAGCTACTATTTAGACCAAATATAAAACACAACTGAATGAGTCACTTACTTACTATTTAGGACAAAAACTGGTATTAACTTAAGAGTACTTGCTAATTTATTATTATTATTATTTTTTTACTTATAGTTAAATTGATGAAATTCATTGAAAGACAACTTTTTTCCAGATAAATAATTTTCCATGGCAAATAGAATCTTATAAAGCTTAATTTTAAAATCTTTTATCAGATGGTGATACAATTAATATCAGGGAAAAAGGACATGTGTTTCATTAACTTGTCTGTCACTCCATGAGTTTATGATGTGAGAACTGACACTTCTGCGCCATCTGTTTATATATGTCCATAATAGAAGCCACACATACTAGTAGACTGAAGTATTTTGATAGAGTAAATCCACAGGTATGGGCTCAACATTTCAATAAGTGTTAGATTATTTCCCACAGATAATTTTGTCATTATTAGACTAATTCTTATGGTAATACATTAATTTCAAGAAAAGCTAATGCTATAAAAAGTGACAGGAATTAGTATATTTCTTCAATATACCAAGGAACTGTGTATTTTAGTGGTTAAAAAAAAAAAAGTGATCATCCGGCTTTTGCTTAAGAGTAGAAAGATGGAAACTCCATCACTCCTACCCTTACAATAAAAAAAGAGATTATCTTTGCACAGTTGTCCTTGAATTTATCAGAGAGCTGAGGTTGTGGAGTAATCAACTATCCAAAATCTGAAGAAAGCTATTTTCCTGGAAGGAGAAACAAAACATGAACAATTTTTACCCCCTGGGGTAAATGCTGAACCCCATACAAACTATTCATGAGAATTCAAATAAAATTTCTGACAAATTACTTAAAACTGTCTTTGGACTAGCATGAGTTTATAGAATACTTGGGAGTTGTAGCTGCAAGGAGAAGTTGCACATATGTGCATGATCTTCTTCATAGACCTCACCATGCCCTTATAAGAGAGGCCAAGGGCTGGGTGGGAGGCCTGGGAAGGCCTCTGTGTTGGTGAAAGTATAGGAGAGGAGAACAGCTGCTCTTGTGGAAAAGATGGAAAGCCTGACCTAGAATCTTCTCTCTTGTCTTCTTTATGGGGTAGAAGCGTAAGTTGCTATGGGAAGGGCACAGAAACTGTCACCTTCCAGCCAGAAGTGAGTATTCATTGCAATTAGGTGAAGGAAAGAATGAAATAACCTCTGCCATTGGGGAGAAACAGGAAAACACCCTGAGTCTAGACCACTTAGAGCTGTACATTTGGGGAAGGGGTGTGACTACAGAAAAGATCCCATCATCAAGGAATCACAGCGCCTTCCTCAGAATGAAGTTAAACCAGAGTAGAGAATGACTCCCTGCTCCCCTTTGTCCATCCTTCTTTAACAGTTTATCAACTTTATAATACCAGAAGGGTAACGTGAAAAGAGAGATCATTGCCAGGCATAAAGGAAAAATCTAAAATTGAGAGGTGAGTAGATCTTGAGAAAAAACTCTGAAAAAGTCTTCCTCATTCTATTATACAAGTTAAAACCAGAAAATTTGAAGCTTGTGGTGCCCTGATGGAAACCATAGAAACCAAAATAATAACAAGTAGACAGCTCAGTTCCTGACTAACCTGATGCAGAGTCTTATAATCTGAAGAGAAAAGGCACGCATGGTTCCAGGTATAAACACTGTGTACAGTCATCTCTGCCCTTCTGCGTGAGATATTCAA